ATTACTCCAATTTAGTGTTCACTTACTCATTCTTACATGTTATGTTAAAAGTAATATGTATTTCTAAAGTAAACTTTCGCAAATGCCGTGTTAAATGTTACGAAATGTCGGTCCTTGAAAAGGGAGGTGGTGGCCCATGCTTCAGGCCTTTGGCTATAGATGCCGAAAATAATTTTTGCATAAATTGAGTCCCTTACTGCTGCGTTCATCCCGGTTTCCGTAGCATTTAGTATCATATTCACCATAATTAACCAAGTCACTCAGTTATATTTCAGCGTATATCACTGCCGGCCATTTTTCAATTTTGCTATTTTCAGGGAATGAGCCTGGTGCTGCGGCGGCAACAGATATCCAGCTTATACCGGGTCTAATATATGCTGCGTACGTCGTTGTATTTGCCGCGTCATTATTCGGCAACTCAGTTATCATTCACATTATAAGAACAGATAACTCCACGAAGACCACTACCAATTATTTGATTTTGGATCAAGCCTTCGCTGATCTCTACAGAACATTGATGGAATCTCTACATATTTCATCTTATCTTATCGGAGGGCGCTGGTTCGGAGGCATTGTAGGCCTAATTACTTGCAAGTTATTTCTAGCGAACTTGTTTATTCCGACCATCTTTACAATTTGGATTCTCCCAACCATTGCTGTTGATCGTTTTTACGCTGTTAGTCGACCTTTTCGACCCTCGCGTTTATTTCGACATTTTAAAAAGATAATCCTAATATTGTGGAGTTGGTCCTTTGCTTGTTCGATAGAAGTCTTTATTACAGGAAGCTTGCACAAAAACAAACAAGACTATTTTTGTTATGCAATTCATTTCCTGCAACAACGGATAACATTTTATATTTTGACTGTTTCTTTTAATGTTGTCCTGCCTCTTTTCATAACAGCAGTTCTTTACATCATTGTTTGTCACAAACTTTGGTCACGTGAGATACCAGGAGAAGGAACCAATCAGAATCAAAGGCAAGCTGAAGCCATGAAAACAGCGAGAAAAGTTACCCGGATGATGATAACTGTAGTGGTTTTGTATGTGCTGTGCTTATTTCCCTTTTCCTTAGGAAGTAGCCTCTACCATTTTGATTATGTAGAGGATAAGTCCGATCTTATATTTTTATGTCTTTTTCTGGCAGCATTTGCTTATAATGGACTCAATCCATGCGTTTATCTTACCTTTAACGATAAGTTCCGAAATGGATTTAAAACTTTGTTTGGAAATTGCTTATGTAAAATCAAATTTCCTAATATTGTTCATTTTCGATCCCAAAGCGTCGAGCTTCAACAAACATAGGCCGTCCATGGAGAGACTTGTCTATCAGCCAGCGGTACAGAGACTAAAGGCTATAAGCAACAATAAATTCAATCCTTGAACTATAAGAAATTCTATGGGAAACGACAGTTTGACTTACAAGCATAACTCTGCCCAGGTGCAATGTATACAATCCTTGGTCTTAAGCTAATGAGTAATAAATTTACTTTGAAAATGTATATTGTATCTATGTACTGTGAACCCGAAAAGCTCCGTGGAAGAGAATGCACTTATACTCAGCTTGAGTATAAAACAACTTTTGAATGCATTGATAAAACTCTAACAGCAATATAACTCGGCATGGCTAAAACATAACGGATCTCTATTTTACCGTATCTACATTTCAGTAATATAGGACCAAGACTGGAAACATACGCTTGCTTGCAAAGTCGGTAAAAAAAAAAAAATGATCTCCTACAATAACAACAATGCGTTTACCACAAGAATGGAATCGGCGAGTGACAATTTTATTAATGGATGTATTAATGGATGTATCTAAATATTTATCTTTCCTTGCTACTGCCTCTCAAAATCTAATACCTTAAATCAAGTTTGTGCTTGGATTGCTTCAATAGAGGTAATGCATGTTTACATTAGAGCTTTATAATAAAGTATGCATGTCTATGTATGGATACCGCAAAGTGTTGTTTGAAGGAACAGGAGGTCTTCCAACCTGCAAGTTTAAACATTTTTCGTCTTATTTGACCCGGCTACTTTTCAGCATATCCTTGTGATGATTGCTGTTGAACGCTATCATGACGTAACTCGACTTTTCAATCATCTTTCTTATCATATAGACACGAGTGTTTTAATTAAGAAATAGAAAACATGTACCATGTTTCTAGCGAGTTATACAAACACGAGTGGAAGTTTGGGAGAACGAGAAGTGCTGTGGGAATACGAGCCGCAGGCGAGTGTTTCCATAGCTTTTTCGAGTTCTCCAAAACTTTCACGAGTGTGTCTATGAAACGATTAGATTATGAGCTCGAGATTTCTATCGAGTGATAGTAGATGACGGCGCAGCCCGAGTCAACCATCACGCATAAAAATCGAGAGAGAATAATCTAATGTTTTCGTGTAAATATTAATCTACTAGTTGTTCGAATTTTTTCTAAATCCTCTTCACAGACACTTCGAATACGCCAAGAAGTGGCCGTCATTTTGTTAACAAGGGCTCACTGCTACGCTACTCACTATAGTGAGCAGCGTAACCAATCAGAGAACGGCATTCGTGATAGACCGCTAGTAGATTTATACTAAAACTCGATAGAACCACGGAGAACATGTTTTCTATTTCTTTTAGAAAACACCGCGACGAAAAAAGGAAAAACAACTTGTTTACTTTGATCATCAAAATGTAAATTCTATTTGTTCGCGCCATCATTACGTCAACAGCTCGTGCTAGTTCTGTGTTTCCATCGAGTTATAGGCGGAAACACGATTTTTAACGAATCAGCGCGCGCATTTTCTTAGGAAAATTTTCTAATGGAAATTAGTAAAATTCTACTAGTATACTAATGCAAATGCTGTAATCTGATTGGCTGAGCCGTTGAACGCTATCAGCCATTAGTGTACAGTGGCTGGAGGTCGTTTGCAAAATGGCGACGTTTTTTTCGTTTTTCCGAAGTTTTTCCGAGGAAAATTTTGATGCAAATGGACAATTAAATTCCTGAGAAAGCTAAACAAAGGCCATTTACGGTTTCTTGATCATGAATTTCAAAACGTTGAAATTATTTTAAAAACTGATGCGCGCGTGCACACAACTTCAATTTTGAATGATAATTCAATCCCAGCGATCTGTTTAAGGCGCAAAGTTTAATAGTACGTCGAGAAATAATTGGAAACCGTTAGTTGAAGTACATTTTAGTAAGAATTCTTCTAAAACAATTAGATTATTCGCTCTCGATTTCCATGAGGTGATAGTTGATGCGGCCTTCGGCCACATCAACTATCACCTCACAGAAATCTCGAGCTCATAATCTAATTGTTAATTATAATATAGATAGAACCCTGCGCGTGCTCTGATTGGTCAAAAACCCATGTTTTGTCAGAGTATAAAACATAGAAAAGGCGTGTTTTATTGTTTTTCGCCACATTACCTCTATATCCTAAAGCAAATGAAGAAGCCTAAGCCGTGTATTACACTGTGATAAAACACTGCAGACATTTGAGAACACTCAAGAAATGTAGAAAACAGTCGCCTGCGGCTCGTGTTTTCTACATTCCCTTGAGCTCTCAAATGCCCGTCGCGTTTTATCACAGCGTAATACACGGCTTAGGCTTCTTTATTTGTTAAATAAACCACTCATAAAATTAATACGAATTTACATTCGGGACCGTAGTGGCGTATTACCCATATTCTCACTAGTAAGGATATGGATGACGTCATTTCGCGCCATCAGTCGCCTTGCGCGGCTACCAAACGTTGCCAAACGCCGGTTAAAAGCGAGCGATAGGGAAGTAAAACCCACTGAACTAGACATAAAATCGTTCACTAAGGAGCACGAAATGCCAAAATAAAGAAACAAAATTTCATGTGGCTCAATATTCGAGGAGATCCTTCAAAATAAACCAAAGGAGACAACCTTTTACAACTTTATGCAAACGTCAACTACACCTGAAGCTTGTGCATGTATTGTTAAAGCAACTGGAATTCATGAGAAGTCCTTACACAACATATGTTAGACCTGCATATGTTTTCTCAACAAAATGTTCATCATCAAAAACTCTTCACGAGCAGAAAAGGTGCCCAGGGAGGTAGAATTCATTCAAGGTGATGGCGCCGCGGACGAAGGGCCAAGCCACCTCGAAGAGCAGATTTTGTGGACAACAAAAGTAGCAACAAAAGTAACCCTTTTTCCCGCCTACTCTAAATGGAACTCCTTTTACTAAATGGAGTGGGGGGTGGTGTGGTGTGTTGTGCTGCGCTGTGGTGTGGTGTTGTGTTGGGGTATGTTTATATAATATGTTCATATATTATGTTATACTTGTTTTTTAAATCATTCAGGTTTGTCCAAGTTGCCAATCGATGCTTGTTGGTATGAAAGCGGGCCATTTCTTGGATTCTTTTCATTTCCTGTTATAGATGAGGAAAGCCCTTGGAGGACTCCTTGTAAATCCTTCGTTCAATAAACTCTAGAAAAGTGTTGCGTGCTTGAAAGAACATGCTGTTTAGGCTATCGCGTAGCAACCAATATTGCCGCTTGCTTTTGTACACACACACGCACATAGTTGAGATAGATAGCAATCCTGGGGGCGGGGAATTGTCTCCTTTTTCGTGCCCGGGGGCGAGGAATAGGACACTGAATAAAAAATGTGAAACCACGGGGATATGCCGGAGGGAGGATGTTAGCAGGTGGAATTGAACCACGCATTGTATAATTTTTTTTTTCATTAGTCCCATGAAATTTTAATTTCTGTAAAAAAGCAATTAACCATATTATAAATTATATTAATCCTATCTGTTAGATGATTTGTGTCAATTTTAAATCAGGTGTCACTCGTGAGTGACATGCATGCAATTTAATTAGATTAGTTTTGGGCGGTATTTTAAGTGCCACTATGATGAAATTCTCGATATCCATTTCTTTACATTTTCGTACACATTAGGTCTTTCTGGAATCATTCTGTTTCCTTGCAAAAGTTTTTAATAATCTTACCTCACCAAGTACACCTTTAAATAAACTGAGTTATGCCTGGGCTCGCTTTCCAGCTCTGAGCATGTTGTGATGTTCAGCTTGGATGCTCAAAGGCAAGGTTTTCGATTAAAACAAAGTTTTAAACCTGGCCTGATTTTTAATTATAGATAATATGTAAAGAGCTTCTTGTGAGTGAGATGAAGTTGACGTTTGGTACAAATTGCAGTGGCCTCGACATGCAACCTGATCTTAACAGAAGAAGTGATATTCCATGTCCAGGTAATAATTAAGTGTTTATAATTACTCTCGATTTAGTGTTCACTTAGTCATTCTTACATGTTATGTTAAAAGTAATATGTATTTCTAAAGTAAACTTTCGTCGATGCCGTGTTCCATGTTAAGAAATGTGATGTTAATATAATATGTTTACATGTTATGATATGCTTGTTTTTAAAATCATTCAGGTTTTTCCAAGTTGCCAATCAGTGCTTAGTGGTATGAAAGCGGCCCATTTCTAGGATTCTTTCATTTTCCTGTTGTAGATGAAGAAAGTCCTTGGGGGACTCCTTGTGAATCGTTCCTTCAATAAACTCTAGAAAAGCGTTGCGCGCTTGACAGAACATGCTGTTTAGGCTTTTGAACAGCAGCCAATATTGCCCCCTAGTTTTGTACACATACGCACATAGTTGAGGTAGTTGGGGGTACTGGGGGCGGGAAAGTCTCTCCTTTTTAAAGCCCGGGGGCGGGGAATAGGCCGTTGAATAAAAAAAATGTGAAACTACAGAGATATGCCGGAGGGGGAATGTTAACAGGTGGAATTGAACCACGCATTGTATAATTTTTTTTTTTTCATTACTCCCATGAAATTTTAATTTCTGTAAAAAAAACAATTAACCACATTATTAATTATATTAATCCTGTCTATTAGATCATTTGTGTCAATTTTAAATCAGGTGTCACTCGTGAGTGACATGTACGCAATTCAATTAGGTCAGCTTTGGGCCGTATTTAAATCTTATTTCATAATTTTTAGTGGCAATTTTAGTATGCAATTTACTTAGGCTAGTTTTGGGCCGCACTTAAATTTTGAATATCACTTCTTAAATTTTTTAGAATGTTTAATATCGGAAAATATTCTTTGTATGGGAATTCAGTTTCCCCCAATTATTCTCCAGTCATGTACTTTTTGTAATTTCTGTGATTTATTTACTTGTACTAGCATGACAAAGTATTACTAAACTTAAACTTAAAATTAATACGCGGGTAACCAGAAATAACTTCTATTTTCGTGAAAAATTAAGAAGGACTTCAACTCCTCGATTTTAATGAGGGAAACTGAGTTTCATCTATAAACAACACACCTAATTCTAGGCCAGAAGGTAAACCATACCCTATTTTAGACCAAAATTGTCAAAACCTACATCTTACGCCAAGACCAGAACGCTTTAGAAACCGTACAGGCACCCTTTGGCGCAGCACTATAATTATAACATATATGTTAGGGAATAACCCCAGATCTTAGTATTTCACGTTCGTATCAATAGTAGTTTCTTTTCAGTTTGGTTTTGCCTCTGTAGTGTTTTTCTTCCTTGGTTAAAGGTTATTTTAAGAT